TGAAATCTAAACGTCATGAACACGATTCCCAATTTCTGCACCAAGTCACGTTCTTAATAAACGAATACAGAAATATTTGTTTGAGTAGACACTACACAGCCTTGTAATGCCGGCTACTTTCAGCTTTCAACAAACGTAGTTACAAACATGCTAAAGGAAAGGAGGCTTAAGAATAAATAGGGAGAAAGATAAAGTGGACGTTTCACAAATGAGATGAGATAAATCAACCTTTGCATGTCTTCTTTTTTTTAATCCATTAATTACCATTTTACGAACATCATTACGTTGAATATTTTTCTTTGGGTTATTTTAGCATTCGGTTTCTAATGTCCTTGACATCATTATCTTATTGCATTACGTGAATTTCATTGAGCAGACGATAACTTGTTAAATAAACAGAAGTGAAATAAACTGTTGTTAACATAATCCACTGATGAAATTAGCGGGAACAAGATAGAAATAAATGACGAATACTTAGTAGCTCCACTATATATATATATATATATATATATATATATATATATATATATATATATATATATATATATATATATATATATGAAGACATTTGTTTATGTTTATACGTTTTTTATAGATATAAATATAAAATGTCTTAAAATAATTGTCGAAGGTTGTCCATTTCATTCATATATATATATATATATATATATATATATGTATATTTGTTTATGTTTATACGTTTTTATAGTTATAAATATAAAAATGTTCTTAAAATAATTGTCGGAGGTTGTCCATTTATTCATATATATATATATATATATATATATATATATATATGTATTGGCACAATATTTTCATTTAAACAGATTTGGTTAAATAATTTACATATATGTCGATTTATTTTGTTATCCTTGCTAGTTAACCGATTAATTTCCTAGTTGCCCTACAAAATTGATTAAGAAAAATACCAAAATTTTCTTTCAAATAATTTTTATTTTCCTAAGTAGTTTCAATCTCATCTGAGGCAATCATCAGGTGGTTAAATTGTCTGTGAATGTGTATAAGAACATTTATTCATTTCACTTAATCCCTCAACAATCTATATAAAAGACCCGGTAAAAAAACAATTCGCATTTCTTTTGTTTGAAGATTTCTTGACGCGTTAAATTGGCAGTCACCATTAAATGTGGATAATTATAAGTAAGCAATATATATATATATATATATATATATATATATATATATATATATATATATATATATATATATATATATATATAAAATTGTCCAATATATATATATAATGCAAAATTGAATTGTTTAATGCAGAATTGTTGGATTAAGGATTTTTGAACCGTTGAATCTTAGAATGATTAAATATATATTCCTGAAATTTTCCGAGGCTTTTAGAATTTTGAGGAATAAGAATGTATAGTTACTCTCCAAGCTTAACAGAAGAATTGTGATCAAATCGATTATAAACGAAAATGCCTTGTTCATCATTAATTAATTAATCATATCTAAAGATCGGAAACTCATGAAGCTCTGAAATATATATATATATATATATATATATATATATATATATATATACTATTTTCAAGATGATCCTCGCCATCTCTACCCTTCTAAGTTTCTGTTCTGAAGTAAGAAGGTTCCTCAGAGGTTTCACGTACGATTTCATTTTTAAGTCTTTTTTCACTGCTCTTTAGACTGCCATTGCTGAAACTCATCTCTCATATACCAAATGTGTTATATATACCAGTTGTAATATACATAATTTCATTGGTCTCACTATTACATGCCTATCCAAATGCCTTACGTTACACCTACCCGATCACACCATCATCAGATATCATTTAAACACACGCAAACTTACCAGACTCCATCCGAAACATACTAGTAGAGAATACAAGCATAATAAACCCATCCACATGGAAAAACAGATTAAAAATAATGGAAATCTTGTTAATAAAAAAGAAAAAGACAACACTCAAAAATATAAACAATGAAAACAGGCACAATGTCATCCATTTCAAAAGTAAAAATAAAACAATCGCTTATAATGGCTAAATGTATTGCCGAAAGCGATGGGAAGTACAGAACATTTGGACAGTTTCTACACACTCTGTGTACAGAAAAGAAAACACTTGTTGAACACAAGAGAAATGAAATAAAATGCTTATTTGCAGTTCCTTGTCATATAAGAGATATGCTGCCTTTACATATATATATATATATATATATATATATATATAGGCAACATATCTTTTTTCAGGCATGTTTCAATGAATAATATTGACATATTTTGTCTACTTATTTTCGTACTATTTCTTTCCAGTTGTCTAATCAGTTTCAAATTGGCAGAAATGAAAAATGGTATATATATGTTATATGCACCTTAATATTTTCTTGCTATATGTAAGGATATATAATGTCTGTAATGGATTTTGTTGAGTGTTGGTTGGTTGATTTTGCTATAGAGGGCCTGGAGAATTTTATTATTTTCATAGTGTAGTCTATTGGTGTTGTCCCTAAGTACTATCCTGATTTGTTAATGTGGGCAAGAATATGTTTTTCAATGCTGTGCAATTGAACATGTGTCCGATAATTGAAGTCTAAGACATCTTGATAATGTTGAGGTACATATATTTCTTTTTTGTTAGAGACACAAACTTCCAAAGAACATTTAAACAGATATACAATGTTTTTTTTTTCATTAGTGATGGGAAAAGTTATGATTAAATTGGTTGTGTTAAATTTAGTATAATATACAATTAATTTTATTTTTTTACAGGGATTCCGTGGGGCATATATTAATACTTATGACATTTTTAGCACTTTTTCACCTAGTTTATATTTAGAAGGCATTTAATAACCGTATAGCAAATTGATAAGTTTAGATATATTTGAGGAAGTATTATCTTCTTTTTGACTTACCTTAATATTTCTAATTTGTTTATCAACGATAAGAAAGTCATTATTAATGAGAGTTTGTTTAATTTTTTTTAATTCAGTGTAGAAAGGTTTTTCGAGGAGGAGTTAATATATATATATATATATATATATATATAGATATTAATGTAACAAATTTTGTATAATAGTTTTTTCTTTAATTGTGTAAATTACTTTCGAGTAGTTTGTAACACGTCTATTTATCATCTCTCAGTTGTGTCTCTGTCTTTGTGCAGAGTGCACTCAGGAGCGACTCCGTCAAAGGATAGAGTCTCAACTGAGGAAAATTATATTGAGAGGTGCCCAGCCCTTGGGAACAACTGCTCGAGGCCGTTCCCTCTCATTTCACCAGAGAGAGGGATCGGTGCTCGCACCGAGGCTAGCGCAAACTACGGTTGCGGGGACTGCGGACAATTTTTGTTCCTGGCCCGGGTGTATGCGCTCGGGTGCCCACCTTAAAAAAAAAAAAACATGTGTCACAACTCGTGTTAGGGAGGAGATAGAGTAAATACCTTGTATAATACCTATAATAGTACATTCACTTTTATAGTTTAGAGTGCAATTGTTTAAGCTATTTGCTTTTTAACTTGAAGAGGTAGTAAATGTATTATTATCAGTGTCTGTCAATACATCAAGAAAAGGGATTTTATTCTTGATTTGAATTTCATATGTGAATTTAAGAACGGAGATTTTTTGAAAGTTTTCTTGTAGTTCCTGTACTTCTTCTATGTTTTTAACTAAGATAATAATATCATCTACATACCTTTCATAAGTGGAAGATTTTTAGTGGTATTAAATCTCTTATCTTCAAGGTTAGCCATCTAGAAGTTACTAAATGTTGGTCCCAGAAGAGAACCCATGGAAGCGCCAACACCTATTCTTTAGAAATTGTTTAATTTTAGTATACGAATTGTACCGAAAAAAAATATAGTATATTTGGAATATAGTTTAGAAACTTTTCCCAAAAGGTGGTACTTGAACATGTGATTTCGTTTCACGTGTGACTGAAATTTAGGACATATAGATAACGGTGACATTGCAACGTGTCTGCCCAGACGATATGACTTGTGAGTGGATTGCGACTATTCTAACAAATTCGCCCCAGCCCCTCAACCTCCGACGTCTTACTCTCTGGGATGAGGTGTCTACTTGGTCTTAACCGAACTTAAGAGAGTGACCGTAGCTCCCCTGAGCATCCATAGATCATTCGACCGGTCCACTGGTTTAATCCCGTTTCCTGCCCACGTTGTGTTCGGTTTGATCCAGAAAGCAGAAGTGATGTCCATCCATATACGGTCGACTGAAGATGTAGACACGGCTGTAAAGTCTGTGCTAAGAAATTTAGGCACAATATATATATATATATATATATATATATGTGCAGAAAGCTGAACAAACAACTATTCAATGGTTGAATTGTTAATGTCTTTTATATAGCAGAAAAGAATAGTATAGAAAAGAAACGTGTTACAGAAAAGAAAATTATTTGACGTAAAAAGAAAAAGAAAAACTCATATACTGGATTCTAGACTGAGAGAGAGAGAGTGGGTTTTGATTAACTTGTTGTTAAATCATCTCAGAACGATATGCGATTCTTGCGATAGAGAGATAAAGATTTATGTGCGCGGCTTAAAGTTTATAGTTGCATTCCTCCTCGGCAATAGTAACAGTAGTAGTAATCTTCGTGGTAGCAGAAGCATCGGTACTTATATTAACAGTACATGTTAGCGGGGGTTTTGTTCCAATCTCTGATGTCACTTTCAATCTCCGACCTCTCTCTACCCAGCTTGACTGCTTTCGGCGGCAGACGAGCCAACCACTCTGATTATTGTAGCTTGTGCGACGTTTCTTTTTCCAGTGGTAGTAATAATAGTAGCAGTAGCAGTTTTAGATTGTTGGAGGAGTAATTCGCTTCTTTGTACTTATATCAACAATGTGTTAGCGGGCGTTTGGTTCCAATCTCTGGCGTCATTTTCAATCTCCGACCTGTCTCCACCCAGCTCGACTGCTTTCGATGGCAGACGAGCCAACCACTCTCTGGTTATTGTAGCTCCGCGACCCGTAATGGCCGCCTGCGGGTGCCAATGCACGTGACGGCACGCAGCGACGACCACGAATCGACCGATCGCGGCCTCTCCCGTCTGCCCTCTTCCGTCTCGCTCGACCGTCTGCCTCTTCTTCAGCATAACTACGCGTTTATATAGATAAATCTGCTTGATCATAAATCGACCCTTGGCCCGCAGGCGATTATCACGAGTGCCCTTTTCAACCCCAACTCATGTGAATTTCAAAGTTCTCATAGCCTTAGTAAGCTCTATTTCAAAATTTTAACCGATAAAATTTATTCCGATCATTTCCATTGTCTTTTTGACGACCCAATTCCAAATGAGCTAGATCAGATTTCCATCAGTAAACAAAATTGTTCTGATCTAATTTTCGCTGTTCAAATCTACTCCAATGTCAATAAAAAAAAATATAAATGATTGTGTGTTTGTGTGTGTTTCCCAAACTCTCTCCGTTGCACTATTAAATGTGTTAGCATTGACATTGAAAATGGAGAAAAATGAAAGATTCTCATCATATATTCTTTTCCTTCCGGAAAGTAAAAAAGAGAATCTCTTTATAAACTTAAAAAATGAGTATCGTTCATGGCGATGGTAATTGTGCTTTTAGCAAATTGTTTATTTTAGTAAAATTATAGAGTGGGAATTTTGATCTGGAGGACCGAGAATACGATGGTCGGCTGGAAAAATCCATAGATTGACTTTGAATGATTGATGCTAGAACTATGAAATCAAGCATGCATTAATTTCGGATCGTCTTATTAATAACTGCATTGTTTCTTTCCAGCTAAACTGATATCTCACTGCTCAAAGAAGATTTCAAAAGTAACTAGTAACGACTTCTCTTGAAAAAAAAATTAGTACTGGGGTGTTATTAATTGCCCGCAGAAAAATAGTTTAGTCCCCAAGGACATTTATTCTGACATGGCTGCTACATTAAGTGATGGAGCCCCAGCTTTATCAACAGTGCAAACGTGGACAGCTGAATTTAGGAGGGGGGAGACTTGAAAATGACCCAAGGTCTGGACGTTCTGAGACTACCACCACCGAGAAAACTATTGATAGTGTTCACCGCATGGTGATAGATGACTAATTATAAATCAAATAACCAAATCTATTAGTATATCCCCTGAGACAGTTGACAAGATTCCACACAGTGAACTTGGTATGAACAAAGCCTCTGCTCGGTATGTGCCACGTCCTGTGACATCTGTTCAAAAGCGCACCAGGCTGATCACATCATGGGAACATCTGGTATTATCTGAGGAAGATCCAGATGGTTTCCGTGAACGCTTCCTAATCCTGGACGAGTATTGGGTTCATTACTTTTATCCAGAGAGAATGCGATTCTATGGAAAATCTCTTCCAATGAAGCCCATGATCATTTCATCTGCAAGGAAGATGATGACCTCAGTCTTTTGAGATGCAAAAGGTATTGTATTTATTGGGTCTCATCGAAAGGGCCACACCATCAATGTAGAGTACAATGTCAAATTATTGCGACAGTTACGAAAGACTATCCAAACCAAACGTCCTGAAAATCCGAGGAAAGTGGGATCTTTTCATCAGAGAAATGATTCAGCATACAATTCCTTAGTTTCAATGGCTGCTGTGGATGTTTGTGGTTCTAAACTGGTTTTATCGCCCTCTCTATTCTCCTTATTTGACTATCATCTGTTCCCCAACATGAAAAAAATAGGCTGGGGATTAGTGCCACAGGGATAATATGGTGTTGATAGCCTTTTTTTTTACCAACAGGATGAACAGTCTTTGAAAAGTCATTTTACCTTGAAAGTAACAATGCAGCTATAAATTAAAAGAGTTGTAATTAAGGAATACAACATTTCATAGCGCTAACATCAATTCTTCATATTTAGCCGATACATTTTTCAGCCTAGCCTCGTATTTCAGTAGTCCTGATTTGGGAGAGGCTGACCAGATAGAAAACCTGATTAAAAATAACCTAGGCCCGACACCACAGGCCACTGCAGTGATAATTCACATATCTCATAAGCTTTGTAATGGTAATGTTAATATTAATCGTTTCTTTGTAAGGAAACTTTAGGCATTCATTAACCGAGCAACCAGTACTGTTGTTGGTTGAAATTTATAAAATCCTTCTCTTGAAAACTTTTTCGGGTAAATAGGTTTTTCAGGTTCGGTAACTTTTATTCAACTTTCCAGTATTAATGCAGATATCCTTCCAAACTTTTTGCTTGAAGTAGTGTGGAATACCAACATCTTGATTATGTCATTATTCACACTTCAATTTACATTTTTAGTTGTTGCTAAAGTCCCCAATGATGCGGTTTCTTTCTTTTTGTACAGTGATTATGTAGCCCCAGACCATAAGATTCGACGGCTAGCCTTTGCTAAAAAACTACGAGCTTTATTCGCTGAAAGCCATGTTTAATCATCGAACTTTGAAGGCAGTTGTATACAGTTATTTATTTCCGACCAGATTTTGCGCCATACACGTCATTCATATGAAAGCCTCGATTTGACGAGGCCATTTAGGAACATGAATTGCATTTTCAGGTTCTTTTTTAATCATTTCATCCCACGTAAGGCGGGAAAGCCACTATTAGGCATAGTGTTACAGAGATAGAAAGTGAGGAAAAAGACTGGGTAGAGGTGAGATTAAGGAAACATAAAAGATGAACTGTGTTGAAGACAACGAAAGATGGCGAGTGACGTTGCATTTAAATTTTTGAAGATTGTAGTTTTCAGGGGAGCAAGTAAACGGAAGGGAGTTCCATTGTCGGGAAGTGCGAGAAAAGAAATTCCTCGAGTAAAAATGGTGGTTACATTTAACTATTTCAATAATAAATGCGTGGAATCTAGATTCCATTCTAATATCACGCTTAAATGCATGTAGCCGTGTTACCAGGGGAACAAAAGCTCGTCAGAGGAGTTGCCATGAAAATATTTGTAGAAAAGACAGAGGGAATCCAAATTATGTCTGTGAGAAAGTGACTGAAGTCAAGATGTCAAGTCAGGAATGATTACATTGTAGATCCTTCTTTGGATTTTGTCAAGAACCTCGAGATGAATACCAGTGTCACCAGACCAGATATGTCAAAGTTATTCAATACATGGATGAATGGCATTTGTAAATGTGAAAATGGACTCTGACGAGAAAAAAAAACCCTTCTGACACGACATAATGAACCAACTTTCCTTGCAGTAGATGCATCTCTTGATACAATGTAGTTGTTAGACTCCAAGTCAGTTGAAAACGTGAGGTCAAGAAGGCCAAGTGAGAGACACTCCTGGAGTCGAGCATGGCGGGCAGGGAAGATTATCTCTGGTGGTTAAATGGGAGCAGTTTAATTTTGCAGGCATTTAAATTTACAAACCTTTTCTTGCCCCAGTTAAGATAGGATTAAACGATAGAGTCATCTGCATAAATGCCTATTTAGAAACTGATGACTAAAATAAGATTATTGATGAAAATCAGAAACAGCACGACACCGAGGATATAGCCTTAAGGCGACGCCCGCGTTCGTGTTAAAGGATCTGGAAGCGAGCCCGTTCAAAACGACCTTCCTTTCCTAATTTGATAGAAATGATTGGATTATATCTAACAATCGTTCTGTCATACCGTAGCTCTGAATCTTACGGAGAAGACCAGCATTCTATACCCCGGCAAACAACTTTGAGGTATTTAGAGCCACAGCTCGAGCTTTGCCGTTATTATCAAGAGCTTGATATATATATTCAGTGATGGCCGTAAGCATGTCATTGGTAAACCGGGTAAAACGAAAGGTATAGTGTTTGTCAGAGTGTAGGTCGTGAAAGGTAAGAGGCTTAACCACTTCAGCATTGATTAAAGCCGGTAAGAGACTAGTAGAACGATAGTTAGAGGGGTCGAAATGTTCTCCAAAGTTCTTAAAAACAGGAACTACAGAGAAGGACTTCCAAAGAGCTGGAAAGCAGGAAGCAGCGTGGCAATATCTGTAGAGTTTGAAGAGAACAGAAGCTAGTTCGAGGGCACGTTTCTTTAGAACGAAGGTTGGGATTTTGTCACCTCCATTTACCTTATAGGAGTTTTATTTAGAAATGATGTCCTGGACAAGTGTCGGGGTTATGCACATATCCTTCACCAGAGTCTTAGTTCTGGGTGGGTTGGGGAATCAGTTATAGGTACCACAAATGAGTGGAGTGTTGAGTTGGAAGAGAATTTACGAGCAAAGCATTCAAATGCATTTGCTGTAGATGTCAGTAGTTGGAGGTTAATATTGCGGTGTTGTACGAAACTAATTATAATGCAGCCTAAATCATGTTCAATTCTTTACTTCGTATACTAAATTTGTTATAAATGATCTATGCACTGAAGTATTTGAAATGTTTGGTGTTTACTAATTAAACATTTTCAATTTTTATAATATATTCTGAATATACTGTATCTGCCATTAAAGCCTCCCATGACGTGCAGGTGTTCTTTCTCTGGGAGGTAGTCCGAGAGTCTTTTTTTTTTCCTCTTCAGAGTAAGAGTCATTTCATGGTGCGTACACTTGAAAGTAGTTGGTGATCATAATTTAACTGTCTGATGCCAATCTTCAGGAGTCTCTCTGAAATGAATTCCCTGCTTTCTAGATCCTTTGCCTTATCAGGGTGTATGATGAAACCTACACCGTCTGTTGCCCACTTTTCCCTGTTTACTCCGCCCCACGTGAAAATAAAGTTGGAGCCTATTTCCTTTGGTCCTGTTCCCTTCCTTCTGATATCAGTGATACCCAGGACTGTGATTTTGCGTTGGATCATAAATACAACAACCTCAAGTACTTTGTTTGTCAAACCACAGGTGTTCCAAGTTACAACCATTCCGTTACTTCTTGGTCGTTGCCCGTTTTCCTCGCCGAGTCGTTTTCCGCCTTAATCAGTCCGCTTGTATCTCCTTTTGTTTCTTGAGCAATTTTAATCCACTGTCGGCCTTCTAAGTCAGTCACGGCTTCAGCAGTGCCTCGTTGGCCAGCATTACCTGGCTCCACCTCCCACGACTAGGACGAGGTGTTGGGCTTTGGGAGGCTCCTCTTCTAAAATATCTTGGAATTTCCATGAGCACCAAGGCAAATCTCATCAGTGTCATTTTCCTACCAACGCTGACATATCAGTGCCAGACATGGAAACTAACAAAGAGGAGAAGAAACTGACCACTTGTGAAATGAAATGCTTGTAAAAAGCAATGAACAAACCAGGTGAGACAATATCAGTAATGAGACAATAAGAAATACGGTAGAAGCAATACCCATCATATAAGAAATCGAAAGACAGAAAATCAAGTGTTTCGGATACCTCACTCGTATGCCTATCAACCAACCAGCTCTACGAGTATTCACCATCAGGTAATCTGGCTGGAGAGCGAGAGGTAGACCAAGAAGATGTTGGAGTGACTCTGGCAGACAATCTCAGAGCCCACGAGATATCTCTCTTCCAAGTCACTTGCCTTGCTGCTGACAGATGACTGTTGATTTTCCAAGCGTAGCTTAGATGTGGCACAAGGCCGAAAGTATGGGACACCCAGTGAGGATCGAACTCACTACTCAAGCGTAATTGTTCTAGCAAGACAAGTTTGCTAACCATTACACCACCTCGAGGTACCCCTTCCCCTGACACCTAACAACACAAGTGGAAGGAAAAACTAATACTAAACTAATAAAATCATTTCAGAATAGTATGTATATTTACCGAAAAGGGTAAACTAGACAGAGAAATCGGGACCAGGTGTCAGAAACCAACGCAGTCAGTTACCAACATGCTCCACTTCTAAAACATGCTAGCATTTCCATGAGCATCAAGGTAAATCTTATCAAACGCCATTTTCCTACCAACGTTGCCATACCAATGCCAGACATGGTCCCTAACAAAAAACCTTGAGAGGAAACTCATCACTTGTGAGATGAAACGTCTAAAGAAAGCCCAGGCGAGGCAATAAGAAATATGGCAGGAGCAATACCAATCTAGCAACACATCAAACGACAGATGATCAAGTGGTTCGTACACCTCGCTCGTATGCCTATCAATCAACCAGCCCTACAAGCATACACTTCTCAAGTACTCTAGCTGGAGAGCGAGAGGCAGACCAAGATATTGAAGCGACTCAGTGGCAGACACTCTCAGAGCCCACGAGATATCTCTCCTCTCGCCGCTGACAGATGATTGTGTCTCCCCGCGACGGCTGACAGCACAAGCGGAAGGAAAAAAACTAAACTAAAAACTAAGTATTCCGATCATTGCTTTCATTACCAATTTCGGATCAGTGTTTCCAGTTTGGCAACGTTTACCATGAGTTCTACTCCTTTGAATACTTGTTACGGCATTTGAAAACACTTCGGTGCTTGACTCACTATAAATTGATTTTGGGGTGCCTCATTGTTAAATAAAACCAAAAATACATTTTTTGATTTAAATATGTTGTAAGCACCCGGAAATGATGCCATCTAAACGCGCCACACAGGATTCAGATTTCTACGGTGGAGTAATGGATAGCGGTTCGGATTAAGGAATCCGAGTTCGAATTCCAGTTGAATCATTTATATTTTTACGGGCTAATACTCTTGTGAAAGGTATGAATCATTTACTTCTCCCCTAGCTATTGGTAAATAGCAGGACAGACCGGGTTCTATAGCCTAGGATGGCAACTGGTCTACCGCAAAAAGAAATGGCTAACTACTGCGGAAAAAAATTGCTTCAGCAGTGATGTATCGAAAGATACATGATCGCCTAAGCGTGTATCACGTATGGCACATAACTGACTGGGTGTGCGTTCTAAACGGAAGTAAAGTAAATCAAACATTTGTGAGGTTTGTTTTATATCAACTGCCCTGTTTTCACGGATTACTTAGCCAGGATGTAAATTAATAACGCATAAAATTATGAACAGGTTTATTTTCCGAAGTATCTCCATTTTATTGATTCTAATTTTCTTTTGCATATTCAATAGATTTCCATTTTCATCAAAGCCTCAATAGCTGTAAATTATCGACGTTGCTATGCGTTCGTTTCAACCTTAATTTACGCAACGATTTCTACCAATGAGCGCTTAATTTTCCCTCTGAAAATTCCAACGAACGTTTTCAATTAATTTCCAAACATTTTTCTTTAATTTATTATCATTTTATTTTATTTTATTTACTTTTTGGAACTCTTTTGTGCACTTTGTTATTTTGAAGTTCGTTTTCGTTCATTGAATAATAATTTAATTCCCGAAAAGAAAGAAATTACATTCTTTTCTAAAGAGCATTCATTTCTCTATATGTTTTGCTGTCAGTTGACGTATGCGCAATTAAGCGGCCAGCAAGAAGAGCGGTCTTATAAAAAAAAACAAAAAAACTCTCTCTTGTAAATATGACGTCATTTATTCAATAATTGACTTAAGAATGTTTGTTTTCTCCTCAAATCAAAAACAAACCCAGTAGATCATTAATAACTTTAAATAATTAGAACTTAGGAAATCTTACATCGAACACTGCGTAAAATGTGGCTTTTCTGTCGTACAGCGTTTCCCCATTTATAAATGAGTATATACAGATCTCTTCTCTTTATCTCTCTCTCTCTCTCTCTCTCTCTCTCTATCTATCTATCTATCTATCTATCTATATCCCCCTCCTTCTCTCACGTCTCTCTCTATACAGGATGCGATGGATAAATTGTCGCAAATAAATATGTTTTTGCGCATGTGCATTGTTTGTTTGTTTTTTAATTTTGTATGGTAGGATCAGTTGGGCACCGTCTTCGAGAAAAAGAGCAGCATAACTCATTTAATTCCGTCCAAAATTTGGGAACTGCATGCTGTACTATTTAGCATTGGCAGCGAAAACTTTAATTCTAACATTTCAGAGTGTTTGGATGTCAATCTGAAGACACTGCAGAGAATTAGGGAAGATTTGGTTGAGTCTAATGGTGATTACGAAGATGTTTGGAGTGATCACTAATGATAGCGACGTTATGCCTCCATTCATCATCCCACAAAACCTCAGACTCAACACGGAGGCCTATATTAAGTGCCTTAAGGAGGTAGTCATAGTCAATTTCTGAGACTACATCTCCCCTTACATCTGGCCACCTAACTCCCCTCTTACATCTGGCCCCCTAACTCCCCCCTTACATCTGGCCACCAAAATCCCCAGACTCTAACTACCTTCATTATTATGTGTGAAGCTCAGTTGAGCGAGAGGCCAAAAAAAAAAACTTCTTGTAATACCACTGATGAAATAAAGGCAAAGATTATGACAGCATTCACCAACTTAAACAAGGAGACTGTCCAGAACAGATACAAGTGATTCCGAAGTCATCTGGAGGCCGTGGTTGAAGCAAATGGCGATTTTATTGAATAGATGTCTGTGTAATTTGGGTAGATATACAGGTTAAAACGAGATGCCAGTGTTATTTTCATTTTTGTATAATTTAAACGACAATTTATCAATCGCATCCGCTCTCTATATGAAAAGGTTACTGAATAAAAGGTTACGAAGTTTGGAAATGGAACAATAATAATTAATTATAAGAAAAACAACATACAAGATTCACCAGCGGCGTGTAGTAAGTAATCAGCTGCTAGTTCTGAGTTAGAATTGAATCAAGCTGAATCTCAATGGGACCCCAATGGCTACCACATATAATATACTAGCAGTAGAGCCCGGCGTTGCCCGGGGATGTAACAGTAAGAGATAGATCAAGTATCGACCATCATAAAGACTGAAAAATAAAATTGTCAAAGATTATTGTTTAAGCTTGACGGACACGCATGTCTTAATTAGTTTTTTTTTTTTTTTTTACGAATTGGTCAAAGCCAAACTCAAACAAAAACATTGTTTTCAATCGTTATGAGTCTACCGATTGAATAGAATTTTATTATAAACAATTGTCTTGTAAATGGAATTTTTAAAGCATTCTGAATGTAAAAATAAAGAAAAAAGCGTGCAATACAATAAGAAACACTACCTGATAAAAAAAATTGTAGTTTTGTTGAAATCGGTTGAAAAATGTAGGAAATCCGATCCCATATATAAACGAACACACACACACACACAAACAACCTGTGTTTTAACTATAACTCGATATGAGTTGTCCCCTTTCATTTTAACGGTTCCTCTTAATCGTGTTTTCAAATTGATTTCGTGCAAAAACCATTGTGTCAGAACCACCGCAAGGTAACTTTACGTAGTCCTGTGAAGTTTTGTTGAAATCGGTTGAAAAATGTAGGAAATCCGATCCAATATATAAACGTACAGACACACACACACAACCTGGGTTTTATAATAAGTAATATTCTACTGTATTTATACGGATTGGGACATACTTATTATAGTCCACAGGTACGATATAAAACTATATACATACGAAACATGGTAACTGAAGAAATCAGGAAATTCGAGAAGGAACAGCTACTGTTGTTTCTTAGTCCAAACAATGTGCTTAGACTACATGCAGTGATCTTGATCCAATGAAGCTATCATGGAATACGCTGATTACAATGCGGCCATTGGTAAAATCATTCCTCCTGCGATCTACCTATGATCTCCTACTAAATGCAACTGTGATGATCATCATCACACACATAGATACATACCTACACAAATTCAAATTTCAATAACAATCATTCATTGGATAAAAATCAACGTTGCTATCTTATGCGATAATATTGAAATCGCTATATTTTCAATTTTTGTGCAATTTTGGGAGAATCGGAAACCAAGAGACTTTCTAGCTTAGTAAATATTTTTCAGGGGATATAAGCTTCTAATTGGTCAATAAACACACAAGTGGGCAATCCACCCACGCACAATATATTTTTCCAGCTCGTGACTAAGTCAAGTTTCCCGCCAATGCGCTCTGTTCCTGTCACGTGATTACGCAATCTATAAATAACAAACACGAGTTGCTTCTTCCTCTTTTTTTCCCTTCAGGCTCCGTGCGAATTCCACCTCGCGTGGAGGTGAGGTAAAAATCCCTTCCTTCTCTATTCTTGCTCCAAAATGTAGTTCCAGAGAATTATCGTCTTGACCTTGCGGTCAGACGTTAAAGAGCATGCCAACATACACGTACGTACGAACATTCACTACGAACGTTAACACGCATACAACGTTCACACACACACACACACACACACACACACACACACACACACACACACAGTGTTAACTGTCTATGTGCTTTGTAAATGTTTGTTTAATAGATATATTTGTTTATATATATTGGTCTTGTTTGTTTGTCCGTTCTTCACATCACTTTGGCTTCCTAAACAAAATTAAATGTGGCGGAATTACGCCACACAACCACCCTCAAACTTCGGGGGTACACTAGCACCGACGCATTCGCATTATGTCAACGTGATTAAGGTATTTACATCACATGCTCTTTGCATGCCCACAATCTCTGCAGATATACATGTGGCGTCAAACGTAGTGCTGGAAGTGGTCATGGATCTTAGACCACGTCTGCAATTTCCGGTACGCATGTTTCAGACAGACGCACGCCCTGACATTGTAGCATGGTCTGATTCAAAGAAATGTGTCCTCCTAGTAGAATTAACAGTTCCATGGGAGGAGAATTGTGTGAAAGAAATATTGCTACGAATCGTTGCAATCCGACTCTGTGGAAAATGTCATGTTCTACCTATTGAGTTCGGGTACTGTGGGTTTCTTGGACGGTCAATCGTTTCCTTATATATATATATATATATATATATATATATATATATATATATATATATATATATATATAAACACACACATACATATATACATATATATATATATATATATATATATATATATGTTATGGGATCTTACCCCAATAATAATAATGGACTATTCCATACTTAATAAATACTGCGCCTCAGGAGGAGTCAGTCGAGTCAGTAGTTCAAGTTTTGAACCGACTGCACGGTTGTACTCTCTTCCTACGGGCGGGAGGAACCCGAAGGAGGCAACGCCGAAGGGCGGAGTCTCCTTCGGGGAGGTAAAACCGGCCCTGAACCCGTTTATACGGGTTCAAATGGGCTATTTTTTGGCCGAGCCTAATGGCTTGGGAATTGCCCACGTTAAAAAGGCCTTGTGCCACATGACACCCTCGTGGCGGGGGGAGGTGACTGAATATCGTCAGTAGTTCAAGTCGAGTCAAGAGTCGAGTCAGAGGCAGTCCGAAACAGAGTCGCGTTTAGACAATTACTGCAAGACATTGGAATAGTGATACTGGTCGAGACTACATTGTTCTCCCTACTAAACCTGATTGTTCATACTAACACTTTCTACTTCTCTGAATATATTCCTGTTTGTAATATATCTGTGTTATTCCATCTCCGTGTTCGAGTTCTTCTTTATTGGTTCTACCTTGGACTATCACCGTGGTACAAGGAACCGGACCATAACAATATATATATATATATATATATATATATATATATATATATATATATATATATATATATATATATATGTGTGTGTGTGTGTGTGTGTGTGTGTGTGTGTGAAAATATATAGAAAATAGGAAGGAACTGGTTAGGTAAATAATCCAAAGTCCCTTAGTATTTTAGTTATTATTTTTAAAAAAAAAGTGCTCGATACAAAAGTAGAGCATAAATATAATTATTTATTTAAAAATATGATTCCAAATCGCTACATAAGAGGTCTCATGTTTCAAAACAAGAGCCGAAAAAACTTCAATATAATCCTTTAAATTAAATTGAGTTGAAAGTAAAATGGGCTCCGTTCCATCTTCAAGCGAAATTTTTGTTGAATAACGTATATCTGAAATTTACTTGTTTTAAAATTGAAATCAAAATCCCCATGGTAACAGCTATGGTGAATTGTCTAAATTGGGTAGGCGAGTGTAGGGTGTTTATAATAAGTAGCGGTATAGAGATACTTTCAAGGTGTCAAGTCGGGGAAAGGTGGGGGTGTCAAAAATGAAACAGAAGATGTATTGGCCATCGTCTAGTTTGCTTGTCTATGGAGATTTATTTATTTATTTTATTCTATTTTATTATGAAAGGGAATTGTGCATATAAAAAAAGAAAAACTTTCGTAACGTTCGTTTTTTGACGACTTCATAAAGGGTTATCTTATATGTAAGGTATTTAAACTACTAATTTAGGCAATGGATTATGAAGTGTTTTATGTTGTATGCATGTTTGTAGTTAATTATTCCTACTATGAATCTGATGATTGGGCTATTTGTTAAACAAGTTATATAATTTTTTTTATCTAATAATTAAAACCAAAAATCTGATGATGCCTACAAAAAACCGTTAACTCGTGTCTATTATTTAACAGATTATTATTATTTAGAAGTTGAAATAATAATAATCTATTAAATAATAGACACGAGTTAACTGTTTTTTGTAGGCATCATCAGATTTTGGGTTTGAATTATTAGATAAAAAAAAAAAAAATTATATAACCTGTTTAGCAAATAGCCCAATCATCAGATTCATAGTAGGAAAAATTAACTGCAAACGTGCATCCCAATTAACTTGAAACAGAATGTTATGAGGTTTTACACTGAAAAAGTGAATTTCTCCAGGGGTCTAAAAAGTTGGCAAATAGCAAAGAGATTCGATGGATTCAATTTCGAGTTCGAATTTGTTTATTTTGTTTTGCAGCTAGTGAATAAAATGTTGATTGAAAAGAAAATCATTTTGATGTT